TGTTCAAACACTGAATTTAATGCTGTCCCAGACATGAACAGCTTACACTCACTGCTGTACAGCAGTGAGCCAAATTCCACTCCAATACAGAATTTGCCGCATTTCTTCCCTAAATATTTCCCATGCCTGCTGGTCTGGCTGGCGGTGCGGACTAGACCTGACTTTCAATTAAATAACCAGGGGAGGTACTTACACTCCATGAAGGGCAGAGTCATCCACTTGAGGATTCTTCACCCAAATCCAAACTACATTTGTCTGGGCCTCCAGGCTCTGCAGGAGGATAGATCCCAAGGAGGGAAGCTATTGCTGGCCTAAGTAGTACTTGTAAGTAAGGTAGGGATTTCTGCTAGGAAATCCACCCAGGTATAATGGATTTCACTATGATGGTTTGTGTAAAGTCCATGTATTTCAGACTGGGATTTGTGGAGCAATTTGCTTGGCATGAATTTCAGCCTCTCTATCCACCTTCAGTTCTTCAGCATATTCACCATTTCCTAAGCAGCATATGAACCACTTCTTCTTTTCTTCCAAGCAGATGTGGGCTCATTGTGCCATAGCTGGTGCCAACCAAAGACTGCTTTCCCATCTCAGGAGCTCAGAGTTGTTCATCCCAGGGAGGGTTCACTGGTCACACTTGGCAGTGTGCTCAACCATCTCCGTCCATCAGGAGAGCAGCCCCATGCTGACCTGGAGTATGAGCTGGCCAAGCCTCCAGCTGCCTGCAATGCACTGTTTAGACATACCTACGTTCACTGCACAACTGCAGGAGACTTCATGCCAGGAGGGGGAATTATAGCGTGATTAATAAACAACTTTGATGTCAAATTGGAGGAAAAATATTGTGAACATAGCAAGGTAGGTTTTTGAAAGGGGATTGTAATATTTAATGTTGCAGTTAGAGAGGTTCTCTCTGAAAACTTCAGCACCTGTAAAATTGTATTTTTAAAAGATAAACCACTCAATAGGTATTGCACACTCAGGTGTTTGAATTCTCTACTTTTGCAGTCACTTCTATCTAGACTCACCATAGTGTAATGCCAAGTGCATAGCAAAAAATGTAGTTGTGTATCCACACAATAGAACATGGTTTAGCACAGGTTTATTAAAAATACAATTAATAAGATTACAGTTGTTATTAATCTAACTTATAATCAGTGTTTATTGAATTTGTAAGTTCTTGACTTTTTCAGAATTAAAAGGAAAGAACATGACAAATCCTGCTATTGAGTTATGCAGTATCAGACAACACACTTTTGAAAAGACACAGTGTTTGTTTCTTGCTCAATATGTTTGCGCTAAGGGATGATGTACAGCTACAGGTGTGAGTCTGTTCAGATCAGTTAGTCTGAAAGGTCGCAGCTGCATTTGATAGTGTTGAGTTTCTTACACTGTGCATCTTGCAATGTTTGATAACTTCAAGACAATAACAACTTGTTTAAACATTTCTTTATACCAAATTATATATCATGTAATGAACAAAGCAGTGCATTACTGTACATGCAGTTTACCAGGCACATTAGCATAAGATTGAAGGCAAGTGTCGATAGTCTAGGACACAGGTCGCTTAAGTGGTTGCTAATGGTCACATGAGTGGGTGTCTGAGAAACACACAGCCAAGTCCCAGCAATGCAGACTGTTAGCACGTCCTGGCCACACCATCCAAACACTCTGCACTTACAGCAGCCTGACCACCTCAACTGCAAGGTTAACAGAGGCATTGCCTTTGCCCCCAGGAACAACAGCCTTCATTAATTGGCTTTCTAATATTGATGATTTTGTTGTTACTAATAAGCAAGAAGTGGAAATGAAAAGACTTGTCAGAGTTTGTGCCCTTTCTGGAGAGCAGCATGGCTGATGTGTTGATCACAAGCTCAATCTGAACTTAGAAGAAGAGATTTTTCCTATTTATGAAACCCTTGTCTACTATGGACCAGTGCAGGAACACGCGTGCTTGCTTGCTTGCTGTCTCGCTCTCTTTTCCAGCTCTTTCTCTCTTCCTTTCTTCCCTCTGTTTTATAATCCTTATAAGTAGCTCTGCCATAATTCTACAAAAACGTTGCATTATATAAAAGATTAGACACTAAAATTACATCACAAAATTGTGTAAAACTGTTCTAGTTAGTACTTAGAAAGTTCTTTCATTAGGCAAATAATTTTCTGTGGATAAACTGGTATTTTATCAAGCAGTGTTTCTCTTACACAGCTAACCTTATAAACCTCTTATAAAAGCCTGACTTCTGTCATAATATGAAACTATAACATGAAACTACGATGGGTACAAGCCAAGAGCCCTTGTACCTGCTGACACATTTTCCATGGGTTTGCCTTACTCTGAGGATGGTCAAGGCACTGCTTAGTGGGCCTAACTGCCCCAAGGCATTCAACAGCCTAGACTGTTCAAGAAGGTATGAAATCTACATGAGAGACCTCCTACCCTTGTCATCCATCAGTTATGGAACTTGGCTTATTCATAACAAAGACGGACAGACAGGCATGTAGCTTGTATGAATAAATAAGGAGTTTCTGAGAAGCTTAATCAGGACTTTCCCCCAAGCAGATCATCGTTGCTCTCTTTAAAGAGTTCAGGTTGCTCCTAATTGCCTCTGGTTGCCCTGGGAGTAGGAAGTATTCCTCCCTACTAAGGGGGCCTTAACTAGTAAAGGTAATTTTTTCACAGTCTATTCCTCAACAGTTCTCGTTTCCCCTTCAGCGACACCAGAGAAGTATGGCAGTATGGAGCTGCCTTCTGTCCTCCACTGGAGAAGGTAGTGCCAGGAGGACAAGCAATTGGTTCGCTCAGCCCTAGAAAGATCCCTGGTGTAGAGGAGAAGAAATTTCCACATAGATACAGCAAGCATAGTGGCTCATATGAGTCTGTATGTTCTGTGATTTCCCTGCCATCATACATATGTGAAACATGCTCATGCCCTGTGGTCCCCAGGAAAGTCTTCCTACAGCCATGTATTAAAAAAAAAATCAAAGAAGCTCCTACATGGCCCTGAACTATACCAGACAGTGCAGGGATTGTGGGAGCTTAACTATTTACAGATAGTTTTATATTTCTGCATGAATAAGCACAGGTGGACATGTAGACTTTTTTTCTCCTGACACACATAACTTCACGTCATTGGGGACCGACCTGCTTAAATGGCCATGAGGCGGGTTTGTGGCTCCAGCCTGAGGCTGTCCCTCCCTGAAGGTTTATAACATCCTCAGAAGGAGCCTGAATTTCTAGTCCTCAGCGTGATGCTCTAATCTTGAATCATTTAATATTAAGGTCAAGGGCAAGATAATCTCCACTGTAATTCCACTAAGTGGTAATTGATAAGTTACAAAAAGAAGTTAGCATATGCTTCAATTTTTACTACTTTATATAGCTAATACCATATTTGTGTTATCTGTCCAAACTACTCAGAACTTATTAAACTTTCATGTCTCTAGAGAAAGCTGTTCAGAAACTTTCAAATTAGCCATTCTGTTTATTATTTCTTTTCCATTCACCCATGAAACCTAATTCTCACCTTCCAACCCACTTGTCTCAGTGCCACCCCCACACATAGGAACACAAACATCTCATATGTACCACCAAGCCATCCAAACCTCACTCATTAAATGTCTCAGCTCACCTAGATCATGCTTGCTCTGAATGCAGAAATTATCAGCTCCCTTCAATCTACCCATCTTTTTTGAAAAAAAAACCTGTCCTCACTCAGGCATAGGTAGTTTTGGTCAAAAAATCTCCCCTGACATCCACCTAAACTTGGAATCCTCAGCAGCATCAAGACTTCCTAGATCAGAAAAGCATCCTCAGTCTGTTCATTATCCATGGGTCTCTATGGTCTGCTTTGCAGACAGTGCTCTCAGAAGAGCCACAAGTCTTAGAAAGTTCAGCTGGGATGCACAAAAGGACATGGTCCGCTGAAGTGGAACTGTGCTGGAATTTAAGAACCTTTGTAGGTCTAAAAGAGAAGTCCACAGTTCCCTCATGGCTAGAACAATTCTCCCGTCCCAGTTCATGAGGCACTGATGTAGACCTGTAAGAGTAACTTTGTAGACTAAGGAAGAAGTAGACCTCACTGAGGAGGCGTAAAGGTCTTGATGTTAGTTTTGTATTCTATCTAAATAGAATTTTACATAAAACGCACAAGTTATTCTTGGAACAGTTTATATCCAAATATCCCTCCAATCTACACTCAGAAAGGGTTAACCTTCCCTTTCTCCAGTCCCAAAACTCTGGGATTGTTTTCTGCAAAGTATTCTGTTTCTGAAGGCAGCAGTTTACGTGCCTCAGTGCACAAGAGGGCTGCAGGATATGAAACCTGACCTGACAAAAGCATGGCCCTGACACCAATAAAGGCACGTCCCTCCCACCAGCGTTAAGTAATTAATCCCGCTGGCAGGGCAAGGGTGTAAGACCCAACTCTGCCATCAGGGTTTTCTATTAGAAAACTTTAGCAGCTCCCTATTTAACACATTGTCTATTTTGAATCTCATTCTTATGTTCAATGACTAGAGTGCCTACGTGTTTTATTCAGGGGCATAGATACCACTAGGCATATAAAATTTAGTATAGTGACTCTGAACATTTTCATTCTAACCTTCCTTTAGGGATCTAGTTCATACCCTGTCCTGTTTATTTTTCGATTTCCAATATTAAATAGTCCTTTAAAGGCTTTAGATTGCTTCAAAGCCTATCCTCTCCTCTCCTGATCCAAAAGTCACTGATGGATAAGAACCATTAATTAGCAACAACAAGTACTTGGGTCATTAATGGTTGTTCTCACTATCTCCTAACAAGGTATCTGAGTACAGAAATTCTTCCCACTCCTCTCTCTGCTGCCCTGAATATAGATTTAAGTAAATTCAACAGATTGGAGGTGTTGCAATATGAAAATTAATTTATTTGTTACATGTGCACTTTGGATAATAGCCATGAGACACACCTCCCGTGATAGGGATGTATGTTTACCTCATATGTCTAATAGTAATGCAAGGAAGCCTTTTTCCGTTATATTATTTTTAATTATTGCATTGTATTGGAGTCGAGCCCTTTGTGACCACAGGCCTGCCACATAGGATCATACCTTCTTTCTGTTGCATAGCTTGAAAAAATAACTAGAAGCTACTAGAAATGAAAGTATTAACTAGAAATACGTTACTAAGGCCTGGTATGCAAACTAAATATGAATCATTGCAAAAATACAACACAGCACTTATTCCCTGAAATAAGTAGAAATCCAATATTTTGCCAACATTATAAAGGTGTTGCTTCTATACAACAAACAAAAGTAAGAGGATTTTAAAAAGATATCTTATCACATGATAAATAAAAAAAGATAAAATTACTTGCTTTGTTGTTTTAAGTACATATGTACTTTAAATTTCAGGCACCTGTGCCCACAGATCAGTCTAGAGTCCTGTTTTGCAATCATAAACTGATTATGCCCACTAAATATTTTAAATATAGAAAATAAAATCCCAATCCAAATCTGAGAAATGCTAACAGTATTCCACTTGTGCGTAGATGCAAGGTGCTTATTCTAACATTCAAATATTTGCCCTAAATTCCAACTCTGAATGACTATACGTTTTAAAACGGCAAATCAAGATGTTTAACCTGTTGGACACAGGAGTACAGCCTAAGCATGCTTTCAGCAGAGATTGAACTAACTTAGCTAAATGTTAGCTGATATGTAGGAACTGGTTTAAATAGATTATGACACACGCTAAAAGCCTACTAATTTTTAATGAATGTCTGTATTAATAGATCCTCTCTATTTATCCCTGGCATTCTTTTTGCAGGTCATATTGACTCTCCTGAGCTCTCTGTAACATTTTTCTGCTGTTCTCCAGAGATTCATTCAATTCAATGACTTTCTTCCACCCATAGTCCTGGGCCCATCAATTGTCCCTGACCCCCTTTCTTGCTGTCCAATCAGCTGAGCTGAATCTTTGTCAATGAACCAAATATTTTGGGTTCAAATAAATCGGAAAAACTCTTTTTAACTTGCACTTTACATACAGCCAACCAACACACAAAGGTTCCCATGGCTCCAGTATGCCTATGCTTCCATGTGAAAGAGCAAGAGTCCTTAAAATGCACACTCCTTGGAGGCCCCAAGATGCAATAAAAAACACAACCAGGCTTTCCCACTTCTTCCATGGTGGCTGAACTGCTCAGCTCTGTGTACAATAAGGCCTGTTTCCAAGATATTCAAAGTTCTTTAGTTATCTTGGGTCCTTAGGCATTTAGACTGCCAGATTAAGACTTCTCTAAAAAATAGACATCATAACTTCTGGAAAAAGAAAATTCCCCTGGGATGCAAGTTCCAAATGAAAGTGTCTACACACAAATGGAAAGTGAAATATCTATTATTTTGAGCAGTGAATCGCTTTCAGCATAACTCAGTTGAGAAAGTAGGAGCCCAACTATGCACAGAGGTACAGCCAAACCCAGGTGGCCACAGTCCTCCTCACAGTCCTCCTCCAATCGTTAACATACATCCTGTAGGATGGCAGGCCAAGGTTTGGTAAAGCTGAAAATATTCAAATATGGGTTTGAATCCTGTGATTTCATGTGTAGAACTTTTACCTAACAGGCCAGGAACCTGGACTTTGTTCCTTACTCTGAATTTTATGAATTTTGCTTTAAAGAATTATGTGGCAAATTAGATTGTAGAAGGTTTTTAGCTTGCAACTGAAACTAAAAAGTCTAATTGCTGCCCTGGTGGTTTTAACTATCAGACTAAAATATGTCCTATGCCCTTGATCTCTCTCAGCTGAGGAGTCTGGTACTTGACTACATGGTGACACTTTCAGCAGGGTGCATCACACAAATGCAGGGTGTTTCTTCACCTTTTTATCCCTCTAACTGAGGACCTTGATCCTTCCAGAATATATTAGACACTGCTTGAGAGCTTCCACTGTACTGGGAAGTGAAGCAATACCTGATGTCTCTATCCCAGTGAGGTTGAAATTGTGAATGACTTAGACAGGGACCTGTCACACTGCAGGGAGTGAACTCCCAAAAGTAAGGCAATGTCATGCATTTTGGAGAAGTGACTCTAAATGTCATGAAAACCTAGATTCTTTCAGCATTTGTTGTCTCCAGGTAAAGAAGGGTCTGCGATCATGATTTTGGATTACACTGATTTAACTTCAATCCTGCTTTAAGTCTAAACCTAAGCTTTTTATTGGATCCAGCTCCTAATGCCTATTGGATTAATTTCTTTATCTCAATTAATATTTTGCTTGTATATATCTTTGAACATCTGGACACAACCTTCAGTGTCTCTCCTTAATGCCTCTAGTCCATTGCTATAACACATTCATGGATTGCTTTCAAAAGTTGTTAAGGTATCCAGCCATCAGCACATATATTAGCAATAGACCATGCACACATCTGCTCACCCCACTGAATGCACTGCTCCCACAATGCTTCAAAGTTTTACCCCCTGTAGAACAGGAATGTTAAGATGCCTGCTATAGCAGAGTGTCCTAACATCCTGAAACATATGAGTAAGTTTTAAATGAACTTTAAAAGGTTTATTTCAGAGCTAAGTTAGTGACTAAATAATTTTTCTATCATATAGCTTCAGCCATATGTTGCAATCAAGACTTTCACAGTTGTGGTATTTCACAGTGACAGTAAGGAAAGTGAAACAAACAGAGCTTAAAAACAACTTTTTTCCCTTCTTAAATTCTGGGGCTCCAGTAACATTATGCAGCCTTGGTGCTTCTTTTAACATGCTACCTGTGAAGGCATTTGTGACCATCCTCTGGGAAATGGCTGAAGAGCATCATAACCTGTCCTTCCTTTTCCTTCTGGACAAACTTTCACCATGAGCCTGTGTGGGACACCTGCAATGTTGGAGCAGCAAAGTCACCAGCATGCCTACCCCACAGGAATCCTGATCCACAGGATCAATTTGGACTCTCCTTAGGGCAGATACTGCCTTTTCTGCTTCGCCAAAATCACACAAGGAAGCCTCACTGAACACCAGTGTTGTGCCCTGTGTTTTCTCTTTGTGTTTGGTTAGCTTTATGTAGCAAGCCATAGGAAAAAAGCAGTAAACCTAATTCAGACATGCTTCACACAATCATAGCGTTCCTTTGTAAAATTTATTTAATGCTTTATAGATACGCTCAACAACACTGATGAAAAAATGTCATTCAAAGGCTTTGCCTAAAATAACAGTTCAGTGAGATTCTGTTACATAGTCCTCATTTACAAACACCAAAAGCTTTCATGCACCTGAGTGAATTGTACCAGGCCTGCAGTTGTGGTCTTCAATTTTTACAGGGTGGAAACAGAACATCTATTCTGCTACACATTACATCCTGAAAGTTTCATGATGTTACTAAGTCAAAGCCTTACATTTTTCAAACAGGGGTACCACTGGAGCTCTAAGTCAAAATAATGAAATATGAATTTGGAAAAATGTATTAACTTATCAAGAGATGCATTGCTCAGAGCATTGAGAATTACACTAGCAGATTATCAATTGCAATGTCAGTACCAAAATACTGATTTAGGTTTTATATTGTTCCTTGTGTTGTTACCTATTACACAGAATCTTAGAAAAAAATTCCCGGAAAAATATGAAGCTTTACTACAAAAGAAATTAAAGCAAGTAAATGGTGGGTTTAAGTACTACAGAGATATGAAGTATTGTTTCTTCAAATCCTGCTAAGAAGCAACAGTTGTACTTCATTTTAACTTGACATGCTTCAGAACTCATACTCATATAGGTATTTAATGATCCAAACATAATGGTCCTGTATAGTTTAATTACTTATATGAAGGCTCAAGTTCATATGTAATCTGTTAAAAATCTGTTGCTTTGGTTCTAACAATGAATAAACTCTTTAACAGTGAAAATGCTTTGATGGAATTGGAGATTATTGACCATGGATCCTGAGCACAGTTGACAGTAAGTGTTATTTCTTCTTGATAGACTCCTTGTTTCTTCCTCCTTCATGGTAAAGCCAAAACAAGGAGAACAGGTAGAGTGCAAGGCAGACCATCAAATCATAGTGGTAGAGTGTTGCAGAAAACAGAAGAAAGAAGAAGAAACAGAATATTTTGAAGGCAACGTGTTTTAAACCCGGAGACTCATGAGGCAACTTAAGTGCTTCACTCTTCTGGTTAGAAATATCTGCAGAATCAGAAATGTGCTGGCTTTCTTTCTGTGAGTCATCAAGACTGTTTAGCATTTTCCTGTCAGTTAATAAATGGTCAGATTGAGAGTCTCTTCCTTCACCTTCTTGGGTAGACTTACTAATTAAAATTTCTGGACTCCAGAACTTCTCTTGTTGGAGCTCTGCTTGATGGAAACATTGACCTATATTTCTTCCTCCTCCTTCTCTAGAAATTACTGTGTCTGAAGTGGAAGGTACTTCTCCTTTTTCAACTTTGGGAGGGAAGTTTTTATTAATACATGTAATTTCATTTGGTAGATTTAAATTGTACCCTGACTCAGCAGCAACCTTGTCTAAGACTTTGAATTCAAAGTGTTTATACAGGTGCTCCATACCTCCTGCTGCAGTGGACCCTTCAGAATATGCTACTGAAGAGCTTTTAAAATGGTGACCAGGAATGGTGTTTGTACCAGAAGGTGGCATTTTTGTTTCAGCTTTAGCACATAAATGGGAAAGCATACCAACATGGCTTTCTTCCCTGTAGAGCTCTTCTGCTTCCTCACTGTATAGATGCTTCTGGGTGCTCAGGGGACATTTAGATACTTCTGAATATAATGCCTGCTGAAAATCTTCTTTTTTTCCTGTATCAGAAACTTTTACTGCTTCTCCTACAGGTAGAATATTGCCTATGTCTGGTTGTACTTTGGCACATTTTTCCCTGCTATTGCGTATAGACTTCATTTCTCCTTGCAGTGTTTCACGAACGCATGCATTATAAATACCTAAAACTGATTCCTTTTCAAATTCAGTGTCATATAATACACCCACTGTGTTGAGTTGACAAAGAGCATAATGTGAACCATCATTTCTCCCTTCATGTGTATCAAACGCTGTTTCCTTTTCCTCTGTGGGCCTGTCACTTAGTGCAGTCTCTTGAGGTAGCTTAGCAATTACTGCTTTTTCGCTGGCAGACATTTTTTCTGGAGCACTTTCTGATGTTGTTTTAATTATATAAGCTGTACCTGCCTCTGCTTCCTCTGTAATATCCTGCTCAGAGACAGAAGACTTTTCACAACTCTCTGCCTCCTGGTAGATGAACAACTCCTTTTTGGAAGCTGTGCTCTGAGGTTCCGTGCTCCCCCTTGCTCCCCACTGAACCTTGCTCCCCATTTCTTGCAACCTCTGCTTGGCAGAGTTTGCTTCACTTTCCCTTCCAATCAGTCTCCATTTATTTGTATTGTCTGGCTTATCTCTGTCTTTTAACCTCATGAATCCTCTGTTTTCCTGAGTGTCCTCAACTTGCCTTTCATCCCCCCATGTGGCCCTGGGTGTCTGCTTGTTGTTCTCGGCTGGCAGAGGTGTTATGTTCAGGGCTTTGGCGTTGTGTTTCCTATGTGACTTGAAAGGCTTGGAAGTTTCCTCCTCACCGATTAATGCCAAGTCTGCTATTTCAATGACTTTCTTCTCCTTCCCTGCATCAGTGTTAGAGTTTTTTCCTGACATTTCACCAATTCCTTTTTCTTGCGTGTATCGTCTTTGTGTGGAATCTATTGAGACATCAGCATATGCAAAAGTGCCAGCATATAAATCTTCTCTTAAATGTACCTGAATTTTGCTTTCAATCATCTTGATTTTTCCTTCATATTTATCAGCATCTGATAACAACAAATCCGGAGTGTGGTGAGACATTTGTGGTGCCTGGTGCTCTGGAGCTGGATTAGCATTGCCATCCAGCGTCCTTGCTATGCATGTGTTTAATTGCATGGATTCATCATGCTCCGGAGAAATGGTTTCTGGTCTCATTTCACAAGCCCCTTTTGAGATAGCAGAAGCATCCTCACTGATGAATACCCTCTCCATCGTCTTACTTCCCAAGGCACTATCTATTTCACCTTTTGAAATATCTGTGTGGCTCTTTCCTTGTCGGCTTGAGACAGTGGCCGTAATACCAATAGCCTCGTTCTGCTTTGTCACAGGAAAATCTTTTGTGGATAAAAGGCTCTCACTGGTATGTTCCAAAGACCGCTCACCACCATTTACTGAGCTAGCAGTGACTTCCTTCCCTGGTAGCTGACTAATATAATCTGTTACAGAATACTTAAATTCATCTTTTAATTCTCCTCCTATCACTCGTAAAGTGTTTTCAGATGACGAACTGATAGACACAGGGTGCAAGTCACTGCTTCTTTCTATACAGGTTAGCTTTTTCACCAATCTTTCAGCTTCACTTGGAAAATTAACTGGTTCTGTAGTGTATAAATTCCTTTCATCTCTGGAAGAGGTACCTCTAGCTTCTGTGAAGTGCTGATTTAACTGAAACAATAGAATAGAAAAGAATGATCAAAAAGTGCTTTGCAAAAACACGCCAAATGAAGGAGGTAGAATTTCATTATGGAAAGTTTTGTTTTCAGTAACAAAGTTTATATGGAAACATGTTCCAAACCATTTGCAAAATTTACATTGGATGTATTTTTTAACATAGGTAATGAGCTTTATGGTGGTGCCGAAAGGAGCAGGAAATAAAATAGCATTCATAACCCTCTAGCTTTATTCATGAGTTCAGCAAGCTGCTAGTACATTTTATACAAATTAAATCTGAAGAGAATATTCCCTTAAAGGCAGGCTAATTCATTCTCTGTACATTTGATTCTAGGTTTGGAGAGATGAAGCCGTGGGGCGAGGGGGTAGGATTGGCACTTAAATGAGGGCATTGATACAGTACATCAAAGCCCAGTAATGTATAGTATTGTCCAGTAAAACAAAGACACATTTCACACTGACAAATTCTGTAAGGATTATCTGTGCTTCATTTCTCTCAGGGACCATTTTACAGGCTTCAAACCAGACTGTTTTTAGACAATCTGGTAAGACACAAGTTGGAAATGAGATTAGCAAAGTAAAAGGCCAGAAACTAATCACTCTCCCTCCTAGCTCCCAAATATCATATTGTATTATTCAGCTATGCTGGCTTGTCATTGCACTCTCTTCTCACTTTAGCACAGTCACACTGGTAGCACTAGCTGATCAATTAGAGGCTAGATTCTTGGGTACCCCTTTATGCATCTGCACTTGCTGTAGATACCCCCATTACAGTTTCTCTTATTAATATGTTTTCTGCAAAGCCTCTGCAAACTATTAATAGTAAAACGTCACTCAAAGAAAAGTGAGGGAGCTAATGTCTCTGCAAATTCTGTTTTAATGACCCTCTGCCAACCAGTGCTCAAGTGTATTTGAGTTCTTCGGTGATGCCAACTGTCAGGATTTAACAGTGAGATGCCTGTGTTTTTTTCCCCTCCTCATAACTGACATTTGCATGATCTCAATAATTATATGCAAATCTTACGATTTCCCCTTCTTCTCACATAAGGCTCATGTTACTTGTCAACTGCACAGCTGTCTTGTGAGCCAATGCCTGTGTGTTTCAAAGATTTGATTGTATTTCCATCTATTATAAGCCTTCATTGTTTAATTCATTAAAGAGTCCATAGTGGAAATTAACATCTAAATTATAGCTCCCCCTTCATTTATTGTATGGACAAGTCTGGCAATTGATAAACAAATGGTTATATTCAATCCTGTTTTTTCTAAAAGGGTGGACTGAGAACAGCAAGGAATTTTAGAGGTCCTCCTTTCTCTGTTTCACCAGGAAAAATAAAGAGACTGACTTTCAGTCAGTGAAAGGTCTCACAATATGCAACAATTTTCAACTTTTTTAAAGTAAAAGACGAGAAAAAATTATATTCAAATGAGAGGATTTTTTTTCTCCATGTCAATGAGGAAAAAAAAGAATGTTTCTCATCTTCCTCTCCTGTCTGATTCAGCATCCACATTTTCACAGGTGATAGCTATTATAATCTATGATTATGAATCTATGCACCCAAATGATATGAGCTGAGAACAGACACTGAGAATAATAGATTGCTGTATGTGTCTCATTTATTGCCATTTTTTCTTTCATACTGAAAAGTGCAAGGCAAACCACACACATTCATCCACACACACAAATCCAAATAGATTGAATGTTCACTGAGTGTGAAATTCATTGTAAAAAATCTAATGTCAAATACTGATACATAAAAATCTGCTTATATAAATATATATACCTATTTTGCTTATACAGCAGGCTACATAGTTATACTTTGAAAAACCTCAAAAGCAAGCAGTAGTATAAGTGTAAAAATTTTACCAAATATAAAACATGTATTTAAGAATATTTCCACCCTAGAGACTAGGAGAGGAGATTTTTTAAATGCTACTCTTCTAATTCCTTCAAACTGTCATTTAGAGCCTCTGGTAAAGAAGTAAAAGGGAGAAGTCATTAATTTAAGACCAGAAAAAGTTGATGCACTATACTGAAATCAAAGCACCTTCTATTGTTGAATCAGTTAGAGATTCAGTGTAAGTACAGACCAAGGCTTTACATTTGTAAATTAGAACATCAGTCAGCTCTGTTAAAAGGGGGCATTTCACCAGCTTTGAAGCGTAAATGGATTCAAATCATTTAATACTGTAGATATAATTGTATAACACTTACCAGCAACTCTAATTCTTTTTCATCATCTTTGTGATCATCCTGCTTGTATTCTGCATTTTTCTCTTTTATATTTTCATTAGCTTGTTCGGTGCCCTTGTCTTCTGCTTGCGAATAAACAATCTCTGGGATGTTTGTGTCTGAAGAGTTAAAAAAAAATAGTTGAATAATTTTCACGAGGTTGGTTGTTACAGTATTTTTAATTAACATGTGCAGTAAGGAAGAACTAATTAAACCGGGTGTTGTACCTGAAGTCTTTGAGTTATTCCATGTGTCATCATCAGACGTTGCCAATATTTCTTCCTTTCTGCTAAACAAAAAGAAACTTCTTGTGTTATTCTGCAAAAATTATGTTCTAATTCCTCTTAGACTCAAATATAAAGACTGCTAGTTAATTACACAAAATTTTGAATGCTGCTTGAAATTCTGAAAATAACAGCTATATAAAATGTAGCTTTTTTTTTTTGAGTGACCTGATATCAAGGCTTGGTCTTAAGAAAGAATTGGCCAAGAAAATGAGAATGTGTTGACCTTCAGATTACATTGCAAAGCTGATGGGTTTTCCCAGGCCTTTTTTGAGAAAGCAGCACAAAGATGATTAGATGGGTCACTGACAGAAGAGTATAATTTTGGGGTCAGGCAAGGGTCTGGGAGGATATATGTGTTCAAGAGGCCAGGGCTCTCTCTTGCTTGTGTTTTTCAAATATTTGTATATATACAGGGATGGCTGGAAAAAGACATCTTTGTTACCTGAAATAAATCTAAAGATTCTCCCTGCATATGTACAGTATAAATCCTGTTGCTAAGCTATGCCTGGCCGGCAGGAACGAATTCTGCTTCCCTGCAGCAAGTGCAATTTTTTCTGTTGTTTTGCTGGCTGTGAAAACAAAGGCCAGGTCCAACATGAAAAACACCTACGGAGAGATGCTTAGTGCCTGCAGTCCTCATCTATATCAATGCAATGTGATAGCAGCTTGAATTGTGTGCTTATAGGGATCTAATCTTTAGTGCAAAAGGCAAAAAAGTGTTAAAATAATATCACTTATGTGAAATGTAAATTATTATATCACTCCTAATGACTTCTCTATGAGGAGCGATTTCTTTTTCCGTAGGTTTTAATTTATGCAATTTTCAACTAGCCGTCCACCTGAGTTACTGCAAATTACTTTCTAATTTTCAAATATTAATCTTTTCCCCTTCTATTTTTCTCCTGGTGTCTTTCATTTGAATTGATATAACATTAACTCTGCCACCTAAATGCTTAATTCAGAAGGAGGATGCTAAATTTATACTCTGTTAAAAAGAATCTAGACTTTGACTGTCAGCAACTTTTTAAAATCCACTCTTTATAGGGTTGCCAGACTAAAGTAGACAGAAGCTGCTGCCAGTCTAGCGTCTGATCTCTGACACTGGCCACCATCAGATACTTCAGGGGAAGATGTAAAGTTTTTGTAGGAAAGTACTTGAAGTAATTTGCACAGCCTGTTAAATTTCCTCTTGGTCATTTTTTGTTAGAAGCTGTCCTTGAAGTGCAAGATTTAATTCTGTCTCGATGGTTCTTTTTTACCATTAATTGCAATAATGTTGAATATTCTTGCAATCTGTATGAATGTCATGTCACTCTTGAATCCTGGCATATGCATAGCCTCCACACATTTCTCACTCTCCTACTCACACCGTGATGGACTTTCTCCTGTCAGCAGTTGCTATGATCTGAATTAAATCCTGAATTCAGAGCCAGGCCCTTATTTTCAGTAGAACTGTGGAGTTTTTAACGTAAATCATTAGTGCTTATTATTTATACATAGGGTTTTGGGGAGAGCTGTTAGTTTGTTTATTGGGGTTTTTCTACTGTTCAAATGCTCGTCTTAGTGTTACATCTAGTTCCAAATTTTCTTCTGCCCTTCTGCATCTTTTTCACTCACCTGTTTCCATAAATCTAGACACCCTGTAGATCAGGGCTTAACCATAAGACAGATGCATTAAAACATTTAGGCACTAATAGGTGTACGTAAAAGCCCTTAATGAGGAGCCAAGATATGTAAAACACATGAACTGAATCATCACCCCAAAATAATAATCCTAAAGCCACATGGGCGCAGCAGGGAATTCTGTTGAATGTAGCTGAATTCTTTGAATGCAGCTGTCTACCTGCAGCATGCAGCAATATGAATGCAACTCTTGGGAAGGAGGGATGGCATAATTTGCTGCTAGAAGGGACTCTCATCTACTTGTTAAAGGAATGGAGTTTTTCATTCAAGAAACATTCTCAGAAGAAGGGAAGATGTTGATGCCTATATCTAGCATAGTCTACAGGCAGCTGCAGTTCACATTCAAGATGAAGTGGCACTTTCAGCTTCTGTCACACCCTCATGTGATAAAAATGCATCACATGCATCCAAAAAATATCCAAATTGCCAGGATAAAGAACATTTGGGTAGAAACTGGAGGACAAATTTCTCTACTCTTCATGAAGTTGGATGTACAAGCTCTTTAGCTTAATTTTCATTCCCTAGAGAAAAGAGAAACTGGAGTTGCCCCCTGTTTCCTATATTCCCTATCCAGTGATTATTTTTCGTTTTGATTAATAAATTTTCAGTGTAAAAATATAGACACAGTCTTTGAATAAGATGCTGAGGATGAGTAGCTATTTCCCAAACCTTTAAATGAACAGGTATAAAGATGCTTCAAGCTGGATAATTACAGGTGTGTGCTGGGTTGGTGTTACCTTATCTAGCTTTAGTCTCCCATGCGTCTGTATTCAGGCAGTCTTGTCTATCATGCCTATCATCAGTGGTGAGGGATTAACACTTCCAAAAGGAGATGCATTCCCTCTAACATGGGCATCATGAATAAGATGAAGTGACATATCCTTCAGAGGAGCTTCTCTGCCTCTGGACCATAAAGGAAACTTACAGCTTAGGCTGTTATTGAAAGCTGCATGAATCTCACCTTGTAAGTATAAATTTTAACTGTAATGTAGCTATGGAGTTTTAGTGTATGGGGCTGTAACACTCAATGTATGTGTGACCTGAGCCCCTCAGTTTTGGTTTTGCTGTGTTTGGAGTTGAATTTTTCCTTAACTCTTGTTCTAGTAGCATCTAGAGCCCTGGTCCACACCTTTCTTTTCACAACTGCAACACAGGTAATAAACAGCAATGATAACACAGTCTCACAGCTGGGATCCACACTGCGGGGCTTGTAACATAATTTCTTGCTTGTTGCACTGAATTTTATAAAGATTTCTGGTTTATAGCCCATTATTTGTGCATACGCGTCCCACAAATACCTCAGTACAGGGAATTTCAATGTAACAGGTATTTCCCTTATTTTACTTCTATATCAAAAATATCCATCCTCATAACACTATTTTATTGGAAAATCTAAAATTAACCTAAATTGAGGATGTTGATACTGCAGTGTTTGAGGATCACAAGGAGCATAAAATGATAGTAATTTAAATAAGAAGTGATATGAAGATGTTGAGACTATGAGTGCATGTAACTACAGAACAAACTCAAACATATATGTATACCCTAAGGACTGAAATACTTCCCAAAAGCCAATAGAAATTATCCCCTTCATCAAACAGGGGCAATTAGAAGGTATTTGTCTAGTTAGTTTTTCTCCATATTTCTCTGAAATATTCTCCTAGCACACTATCAGAATTCTGTGAGCAGATTTTTAAATTAGAATGTTAATTAAGCTTTTGCTTTAGAAATTAATTATCACACTTTGTTGTGAAAGGTGGTCTAAATTTGTCTACATTGTGAGAGAAAACAAATTTGTGTTCTGTTAAAAATCTTTTATTTTTATTTTTGAATGTCCAGGCATTCTGACAACAGTTAAAGCTAGAAAAAAATCCATGATGTCAGCTGATGCAGTTCTCCTCCAGCATATGTACCTGTAAACCTGCAGAACCTCTGTTGCTTCTGCTCATTCAGCTGAATGGGGCACATCTTCATAAAGTACACCAGGAACTTAAGAATTTCTACCATCTTAAAAAACTGAACAACTTACGCTCATATGATTCATTCTTGATGGAATTATCATTCACTTGGACTGAATTATAAAAATAAATAAGGAATAAAACCATGTTATCATTGTTATTTGCATTCATATACAAAGCTCAGGGCCTAGTTAGTAGGACAGAGAGGACTGAAAATTTGATGGACATTGTGTGAAGGAGTTCAGAAGTCCAAAACTTCATGGAATTGGCATCCCAGAAAGGAAATGTTAAACTTGAGTACTAAAGATGTGAAGACTAGATAGACAATGTATAAGTGATGAGAAAAAAAATAATTAGCCAATAAATATTTCTTTGACTTCACGAAGGGTTGGGGTAAACTAAGATATGTCAAGGCTTTCTAAATAGCCTTTTTAAGTTAAATAGGGATTTTTTTTAGAAGGGAGGTTTGATCAAGATTTCAGATGATCTATGTATAACCCCAGAATCAAAAGACTTCTCCTAAAATTTTCTACCACAGAGCTAGTAGTGGGGTAGAGTCCTATAGGAACAGAGATCTTACAGGACATAACTGATACAAATACAGATTTAGAAAATTATATTATTTCATCCAATCTGGGAGTGGAACTTGTTTAAATATGCTCCAGTTAAGAGAAGCAGATAATCTCCAACCCAAATCTGAGAGACCCAAGAGAGGAAAACACATATTGGTTTAAAACCTTTGTTATTCAAATCTATCAAATTGGTCCTGATACTATGGTAACAGTATTAAAAGAGTTGAAAAAGTAGTAGCTATATTTAGGAAAAAAAAGAGAAATAGTGTCAAGGCAACTACAGGTCCAGTTGTCTTCAAAAACTTTTCACAACAGATTTAGAACAAAACTTAAGTGAGACAAGAAATACAGATAAATAGAAAATGGCATAAAAATACCAGACTCACCTGATTATATCTGTCTTTGATAAAATTACTACATTTCCCTTGTCTAAAAATCAGTTGTCAGAATTTCATTAAAGCATTTGTTGTGCAGTCACATGGGAAATTTATTAATTAAACAGGAGAAGAGGGATATGAGTATAAGAGCTGGGTGGTGGAAGAGAGGCTCTCAGTGCCAAGCAGGGTCCCACAAGCTGGGCTGTGTGGAGTTAGCAGGCACCACTGAGGAACTGGAGAGGACCAGTCATGTAATCAGACTTACTCAGTCATGTTATTACAGACCAAAGCACAAGAAGTCAAAGTTAAATTAAATCCGCAGCAGATAGGAAGTTGGGAGACATGACCAACACAGAGGAGGATTGAAAGAAATAGGTGGCCTGGAGGATCAGGATAATAGATAAGGGAT